GGGGCCTGGAGGGCAACAAAATGCTCACGCTCAAGTCAACCAACTTTTTTGAACGTAAAGTGAACATGGCCAAACTGGTGAGTCAGGGCCGCGCCGTGTTTGTGAGCAACACCGACCGGTGCGAAGGCATACGCGTACTAAACCCCAGGGCCCGTATGCACACCGCGCCCAATAAGTATGTCTACAATTTTAACGTGCACTACGTGTCCCGGGCGTACCCCCGGCATCAGTTTATGCTAGGTAAATTAATGACATGTGTGGAAATGGGACTGGATATTAGGGAACAGTTGACAGTGCGCCTACTGAGCGAGTACATTGGCCCTATGCTCGTACGATTGGGTCGGGTTAAAGCTAATGATGATGATGATAATGACGATCAGAGGGAACATAAGCAGATTAGTGTCAGTGAATTGTTTCGTGGTGTTTTCCCAATTCTGTTCATCGGCTATTTGGCAGCTATCGGCGTGTTTTTGAGCGAGATTAGTTGTTTAAAACATTAGTCTACCAGGTCATATGGTGCACCGATATTATATTTAGGTTCAAGCGTTTATGAATGATGGGAAATACATATGTAAATAATTATATTATTATAGTATAGCTGTTATGATTTTTATTACCACGATTTATAATTTTAATATTAAAGTGGGTTTAAAATAAAGTTAAACATAATAGAATATATAAATTAAACTCATTTTAATATTAAACCACTTTATATTTCCATTTTCACAAAATTTTTCCATTAAATTATTTTAATTGTAATTTTAATTTATTGATATTTATTGTCATATTATTATTTACGTATTAAATAAAACTGTACTTTATTTTTGTGTTATTGATTTTAAATAACAGAAAAATGTGATGAAAAATTGAAATGTGTTTATGAAAACTTATAAATTATAATATAATTAAATATTTAATAAGAAAGACAAAAAGAATAATATTAAGGAAGTATGAATAGAAATCTAATTTTCATGTAGTTAAACATGCATAACACATGTAAAACAGTATAATTTACTTACTGTTTCTACATTTACTAATACAACTTACTGTTTTTTGAATAATTAAATAAATCAATAAGTAGTTTGAAATAACTAGCTAAAAATTAATTACAGATAACAACAAAAAATTAATACATTGGAAAAATTACTAACAAATTACAAGAAATACTGTACATGAGCATAATCAATAAAAAATCAACTATTTGTTAAAGTAGTTTTTTGTAGAATAATACCTATAATGGTACATTTAAGATTACAACATTTTGAATATGTTCTCGATAGAATAATAGTTTAAGAATTAAAAATATTAAATTTTTATGAATAATATTTAATAAATTATAAATTTTAGATAATATCATCAATATTAAATAATAATATTTGATAAAGTAATTTTTGTTTTAGTTCCATAACAATTATTATGCAGTATGATGCTACATTTAGAACAATATTAAATAAAATACGACCTGGATTGTATACATCACAAATATACGACATATGCGCTAGGTTAAACTTTACATATGATGAGTCCATTTACGTCTATACCAAAAATGCAATCAATTATTTTAGTAATCATGTAATGCATATTTTATTAAATTCTAAAATTTGTAATCTTGATTAATTTCTAATTTTACATTAATGATTGTTTTACATATTAATTGGTAGTACCTGCAAGGGTTCACAAAGGATTTTATCACGTATTTAATTTGTCAGCTAGATTTAAAAGTCATAATCACAAACTATCTGGATTATCAAGCAATCAATAAATATAGAGAACAGTTCATATTAAAAGTAAGTATTTTATAGGTAATGATTTTTAAATTTATTTTAACCTGTTTAATTAACTAATACTATATTCTATATGTAAATAATCTAATAACTCAATTATTTTTAATATAAAGTCAATTGAAATACTGTTGGTATTATTTTATATACAGCAAAGTGATCTAATTTTGTTACCTCGAGTCAAAATTACACCATTGGTTCTAAAGTATGGCCTCACTGTTACCCGCAATCAATTGTATTTGTTTGAAATACTATGCGTCAGTCGTTACCGTGATGATAATACATGGTTTAATTTTATATTCTTATTCGATTTACAAGTATATACCATATATCTAAATATTTAACGGATAAACATATTTTATATTAATAAAAGCATCTTTTACATATAATTTTTATAAAATTATTTATTTGCAATATTTTACATATTGATAATATAATCATATTTATTTAGACATGGATTCTATTGGGCGCGAGTATAGCCGCGTACAGCACTGTATGGACTCATTTAAGCCAAATCCCTGTATCACCAATCGGTGCTGTCCAGGATCTGATCAGCGCTATAATAGGCCAGTCGAGCCGTTTAGGCGAGATGTCCGCTCTGGGGCTACAGAGGCTGCGGGACAACCGGCAAATCATGTTATTTGGGCTCATATACGTGTGGCTATTGTCAAGTCTGATACTAACAAAATGCTTGACAGAGTTCCTACTGAACACTTATATCCCGGGCAAACCCGTACCGTTGGTGGACTCCGTGGACGAACTCGTGAGGGCCACACATTTGACTGTCTTTCAGTCGCTGGATAAGCGAGACATTAACAATACCCATAAGAGTGAACAGTTTTGGAAAGTAAATCTTAGGGGCGAGAAGGGCAATCAATTGTTTAACAACAGTATTCTCAATAATCGTCCTGTGCACCGGGTCAAAATGATCGGCCAGGGTCGAGCCGTGTACGTGAGCAATACCGACAAGTGTGAGTTTATGCGCGCGCTAAACCCCAGGGCCCACACGAGCACAGCGCCCAACAAGTATGGGTTGTATTTCAATGTGCATTATGTGTCCCGAACCTATCGTCGGCACCAGTTTATGTTGAATAAATTGATAACATGTGTGGAAATGGGTCTGGATATTAGGGAACAGGCGGTGGTGCGCCTTCTCAATGAGTACATCGGCCTTACGGTCACCCGATCGGTTAGTGTGAGTGTGGCAGCCGATGATGGTTATGATAATGACGATCAGGGTGACCATCATCAGATTAATGTGAGCGAAATATTTCGCAACATTTTCCCTGTGCTTTTTATTGGCTCCACAGCGGCCATTGTCTTGTTTTTGAGCGAGATTACTTGTTTAAAATCAACTCGGTATTTATTAACAGCCAACTTTTGGCACCCACTGGCAGTATTATTTGGTCGGGTAAAGTGGCACAAAAATAATGCACTGCTTAGTAAACTAGTGAGTCATGACACCCGGTTGTTATGGAGCCTTTTGCAACCTAGTGTAAGGGCAGAGGAAATTGTAAATTGAATGATTTTGAAATAAAAGTTAACATTTATATTTTAATTTCTAATCTTAATCTAAAAGTATGAACATATTGAATTTATACCTGTTAAAATCAATTTGTTTATTAATAATAATAATAATATTAATAATAAATTATTATAGATAAGAGATTACATTATATGATATTTATAAATTTTGAAATATTGAAATTAATATACAGCATGTTTTATTTTCCTTACTTGTAAGTATTGCATTGTACTTTTTATTCTGTGTTACATTAAGTGGTAATTTTAAATAACTTATTCTTAACTGTCTTATTATTAAGGGTTTACTTAAACTTTATGAAAAATAATTTTTTTAATCAAGTTTGCAATAATTATAAATTATTGTTAGTTTTAACTATAAGTAAAGTAAATTATTGTTAGTTTTTTGTTTGAATTTATAATAAATTATTGGTAATATTTTAATTCAATTGCATTTATTTAATTTTATTATCAAAAACTGCATTTGTGTTAATATTGTTAGTATAAAATACAATCACTGAACAAATAAAATCAATTTTATAAAAACATATATAACAGTAATGTGTAAATAAAATTATATTTTTACTCAAAATTCTGTTTTACAATAGGTTTCGAGCATTTGTTTGTCACACAAAGGATTTCTACATAAAAATTACTTTTACATAAAATATACAAAAGTGTTATAAAACATGTAATTAATTACCATAATTATCTCCATACAATATAATAAACCAAATCACATAATCATTTCACAAACCATATATAAATAGGGATAAAATGCATTAACAGCACATAGTTTTAATTTTACCCACATTAGCTTCAAAAAAAATTACATCTCAATAAAATGAACCGATTATTAACACTCGCGTTGTTTATGTTGGTTATTGGGTCCATATATTGCCAGTACTCGGGTGGCGGTGCGGGTAACGGGCAACAGGGTAAATTTGCAAACTAATTATGATCAAACAAACTATCTAATCTAAATTATCATGGCATTACATTTATTCAATTAGGTGGTGGCGGCTCTATGCGGGACACAGCGAGCAAAGTGGGTCAGGCGGCGTGGGGTGTGGCCAAGACTGCGGCCCAAATGACACCACAGGGCCAGGCAGTGATGCAGGCGAAGAACGCGTACGATGGAGCTAAAAAAGTATACAACACCTACCAGAATGCGCGTGGTCAACAACAGGGATAATAATAATATTTGTTGTATAACTTGTTCCTGGTCATATTTGTTTTAAATAAATACGGTTATTTCTGTTTGATGCAATTAAAATGTGTACTTTTTTGTTTGTTTTACCTCTTTATCTCAAAAATACAAACTGTAATAAAATAATTAATATATATTTGTGAGCATAAGTAAAACACACCTAAAAATATATGTATAGTTTTAAGTCTAACATAGTTTATAAGAGTGTAAATGTATTGCAATACAAAAGGGCTATCAATGAGAGTGTGTATCAAATATGAGCTCAAAGAGTGTGTATAAAAGGACTATAAAAATAATGTATCATGGTACAAAACAGCGCTGACAGTGTGTAAATTGGTTGACCACAAATATGATCATGATCAAACATGATAGCCCAAGTCCTTTTGTTATAGGTAAAGCATATAATTTATATTATTTTGTTTGATAATTATCTATAGTGATTATAATTATAATCATAATTGTCTTGATTTTTGTCGTTGCATAATAAATAATGTTCTCGGTGAATTGTTTATGGCATAAACTTTATGCACAACTTTTTTACAAAATTTTATGTATAGTTATTTTATTATGAAAATTACCTGAATTAATAAATGCACAAAATTCTTGACAAAAGCAAATAAATAATAACAGAACTATTTAGATTCCCAAATAATAAAAACATTACTTGATGAATTTAATAGGCAATAATAATACAAAAACTTATCAAATGTCGTACAACTATCTGTTTAAACATGATAAATTTTATTTCACAACAAACCATACTTTAACCTGTCACAACAAATATGATAATTTAATTCTTCACACATTTGACCATGATTCGTATTGTGTCGTATATATTCAGGGCACTAGTTCAGTAGTTTAGTGCTAGATGCGCTTATAAATTTTAATATTTTTGTTGCTAAATTAGAAATGCCAATCAACTTATTATATTAATTATGTACACAATTGCTATAATTGTTTGGATACTAACTTTAAAAACACAAATCCTTGAATTGCATGCAAACAAAAAACACTTATAAAAACAAAGTTAAAACTATGAACAAGTTTAAAGTTAATCATTAAAATTAATACACCATATTTCAAACATAGTACTATCATGTTAAAACTATTAACTATAGTATGCATAGTTGGCGTGCAATTAATTAGCGGCAAACATCGCGACTACTACCACGACAATCGTCACGATATATTTGACGGACCCAACAGTCCGGATGACCACGAGCTGCACCACTATCTACTCGCTAATAATTTTCAGGACAGTAATCACCGCAAACGGGTCCACAAACTGACCATTGAGACAAAGGGCTACGCGTATCAAACCATTGAGTTGTCTCGCAAACGCAGAGGTAGTATAAAAATCAACAATGTAGTTTTTAATAAAATATTAATCTCATGTCTTAATATAGATACTAATAGCACGAGTGATACGACAGCAAAGCCAGTGGCGGCGGCGGCGGTGCCGGCACTGACCGCTCCGGCAGCGACTGCCGTTCAACCCGTGGCCACAAATGCTGTCCGCACGGGTCGGACGTATGGCAACAATCAAATGAATCGACGCTCGTATAACATGACCCGTACCCGCACGTGGAGACGGGCTAATGTCACCCGAACCGCCAGGGTTAATAATGGTGGCTATGCCGGTTAATGTTGTAATCACCATGGCTAGTTATACGTTATAAAAAAGTTTAACATAATATTATTTATATATTTAATTGGTTATGGTAATTAATTATTATTGGGTTATTTTTGTTTTAATTATGTATTGTGTAATAATTTAATTAATGTTTACATTTAAATTAGATATTGTCCTAGGACACTTATTGTTATTTGTAATTATGATTATTGTTAAATATGCTTTAGCACTATTGATTAATTGTTTTGTATAAACTAATTATAACATTTAAAGTATGTGCTTGTTCAAATATAGTTTGCATTTATTCTCTCTCTCTCTCTCTCTCTCTCTCAAATTTTTGTTGATATTCTGGTCGTCATTCTTATCAAAATTTTTCTCATAATTCTTATCGAAATTTTTGTCGTAATTATAATTCTTGTTAAAGTTGTTGTTATTGTCTATGAATTTTTCGTAAGAATTTCTATCATTGGGATAACTGTTGGCGAAGTGAATGCATACCAAATACATTATGATCATTATAATGTTTCCCATAATCATCATGCTATTTTTCTGTATAGCCAGTCTATGGCTAAATCATATGCAGAGATAGTGTACTAATAAATGCCCCAACTTTTACCTTATATTTATAACCTGTTATAATGTTTAATATGAATACAATAAAAATATATAATTCAAGGATTTATTACATAATTTAAAAATAATATATTATTATTTAAAAAGTAAATTTATTTATTCATATTTTAACAAATATTTATTTATTGTCAGTTATACAGTATGTCATATCATTGTAAACTAGGATCTTTTATATAGATTATTAAAGTACTTTAAATTGTTTAAGTAAATATTGTTCAAACATGGTCTTATGATCGCTATATTGCAATTTTTATAATCATAGGTTAAAGTATGAATAATATTATCAAACATGTTTATATATTTACATATTCCATTTCCATAGTTAAAGTTATTATAACCAGTACTAAAACTAGTTCATTTATATCCGTTATGCATCCATGCACTAATTGAACAAAATTGTAAATGCAATATAAATCAAACATTTTATTTATTCATACGTATATTTTGACACTTAAAATACAAATATATTTTTATTAGAGAGAGAGAGAGAGAGAGAGAGAGA